CTTTTACTGGGGACTGCGGACACCTCCCCAGCCTCATCTGCCTCTCCGTTTTTTCACTTTTTCCGCAGATTGAAGCAAGGGTGCCGAGTTGGACGTTACCGAGGCGCGTGCGCACATCAGCCTGACGCATGCTGTGGGGTGAGCTGCCTCATGGGTCACCTCACGGAGCAGCCCTGGAGCTCGCAAACAGGTTTTCTTATGCAGGAAAGTCAGGCAAAGATGTTCTCTGGTGGTCAGTCTGGAGGATTAGTCAGTCTCAAGTAAAGCCCTTTGAAATGCCATGGTGAGGCCTGCTCAGCTCCATGTGCTCGCTCCTGTTCCACAGCACACCCAGCTGTGGCTGTAGCCCAGGAGGGCAGGACAGAGCGCTGAGTTGTGTGTCCCAAGGGTGGAAATCTGCCATGCAGACAGCACGAGGAGCAGCCCGTCGTGCTTGTGCTCCGGGCTGCTGGCTCGCCGTGCTGGGAGCTTTCATGCCTTTGCATTCCCAAGTCTGGCACCAGGATCACCAGCCGCTGCCATCTCCAGGCTGGCTTTGTGCTGTTAATACTTGTCCGCTGGGGACAGCAAACCAGATGTGCTGCACATAGTTTCCAGGCAGCGCTGATGTGCCAGATGACAGTAGCTATTGAGTGCTCCTCTGGTGGCCCAGAGACACCAAGATGAAAGCCCCATGCCTGTCAGCACTTCCCTTGCAGTTCTGCATCCCTTCAGTTTTCACTCAAGTCCCCTCACAAAAGCAATTGCCGCAGAACATGGTGTTGCAACACCAATCTTTATTTTTTGAGACAGAAAATCACAAGTTTTATAATGTTGAGCTGTCAGGCAGATCTGGGAACCCTTGAATTTTGTTGTCAAATGCTTTTCTGCACCCACTCCCCTTGTTTGTGCATCTGCTTGGAGCCCCAGCTAAGAACCCACCTTCCTCTTCAGAAATGTTTTCCCCTGCATCTCCCAGAGGATTTTTACTAGGATAGAGGAGTGATAGTTGAGTATCTTCTCAAACAGAGGTATTTTCATGGAGGAAAAAGAAACCCAAACAAATGACTATCAAAGGGAAAATACTATAGTTAGAACAGGGATCACTTCTTAAGGAGTGGTTTGTGTTGTTTCCCAGCTGCTCTACCTCTAAGCAGCCTCTTACCCCCAATTCAGGGGCTCCACCAGTTGTAAAAGCAAAATCTAACCAGTGCCAGATTCAAGCCTCAAAATACAAAACATTTTAGATATGGAGAGCAAAGGGGGGCCCTGATTCATAAGAGAACTTCTAAGCATTATTGTAACATAAATAATATGACATCTTTCACCCCAAATAGCCTAACACTTCATAAACTGATATGAGTTTCACTTGCTGCTGAAACACAGCTATTTCTGAAGTGGAACTTGATATCTTTTTTTTTTTTTTTTTAACCAGGAGAGCAATATTTTAAGGTGGAGAGTGAAGGATACAATATACAACCAATTATAAGTATAATCAAGATTGGCTTTGCAAAATGGAAAGAACAAATAACATGTACTTTTAGTAGTAACATGTAGTCTAGTGTATCTTAAACTTATATCCTTAGTTTTCAAATGTAATTCATTTAAGAGAGATATAGGAAACTCAAGTAATGTTTTGTCCTCTCTCTTTTAGCAGCGCTTTCCTACAATGCCCTGCTGGCAGATTCTCTGGGTCCTTTCCTCTCTTCATTTAATTTGATGTCCAAGTCTCGGAGCTGGCTGAGAAACCCTGAGTTTGGGCAGATGTTTCTGTGAGAGCCCACTGTTTTCAGAGCATCCACAAGTGTCATGTTTTCACGGATCATTAAGAAGGCAAGCACTAAAGATGCAGAGCGGCTCACCCCCATGGCACAATGAACGAACACTTTGCCTGCAAGAAGAAGAGATGCAACAAGGTGAGTCGGCCTTCGGCCCTGAGAGGGACACGGGGAGCACCGAAACTGCCTGAACTGACTTGGCAAAATGACCATGACAGTTACTGCATACTCAGTTTTTCATGGACAGTTATCCTAAGATCATACCATAGATATTGAGCAAAGTGGTATTTGTACTGACTTCATGAATCCAACTTGATGAAGTTACATTCTTGCCCAAACTGTATGAATGCTCAGGTATTTGATTTCAGATTAAAATAGCTGAAGTTTTGTGTGGAAGGAGAAGTTTTCTGTGACTGAACTTGTTAGTGCAGTTTTCTGTGGAAAAATAGTCTTGGCAGAAAAATTTGGCCCAGACCTGACTGTGATTATCGGGAAGTCCCATAAACTCTGTAGGACAGTCTGCCTGTAAAAACGGGCTCATAATTTACTGTATCTCAGCAGCCCAGTGAGAGCTATAACTGGGGTTTTAATAAAGCACTCCAGCAAAAGCAGCAAGCTCTTGCAGCCAGTCAGAGTCAGAGCAAACTCTGGAACAAATGGAAATTATGATAACTAGGCCATAATCCAAACTCTACTGACAAAAATTCAGCAGGCTGTGGGTCAGGCTCCTCATTTTTGACTTAGCTCATTAACTTGTGCTGCAGCTCGAGCTTAGCAGGCTCCATCCTGCAAAGCACTTCAGCATGTAGACCATTTAAGCCAGTTCTTGAGTGTCGTTGCCGCCAGTCGAAGCCCTGGGGAGCTGGAGCAGAGCTGCCACGTGGTCCCTGATGCCACAGGGGTGCAGGCTGGAGCCCCTGACAATATGAGGGGTGCGAGTGAATGGGGTTGGAGGGGGGGACATGATTTTGGCAGGAGGCAAATCCTGTCGGGGAGCAGAGTGATCCTGCATGTGCTTTATTCAGTGTCACGCTGCACCTGAGCTTTACTGGCTGCCTGGTTAATACAAGGAGAAGCCATTCGGCTCACGTTGAAACTTCCTCCCCAAACTTCTCTCTGCCTCCCCCTTACCTCCTGCAGTGTTTAAGGCTTTGCCTATGAAGTTGGCAGCATCATAGAAGAAGATGCTTAAATCAAAGGAAGGATCATCAAAAGCTTCTATTCCGTAGTACTCTATTTGTAGATCATCGTAATATTTGGCTCCTGTATTGATACTGTATGGCCCATGTGCTGCATTAAGGATATGAGTAATGTTGAGGCTTTGAAGAGCAGTTTTATTCCTAGCAGCCCACCTGAAAGACATGAAGGGTTAATGAGCAACACTGCCAACATTCTGCCTTAAAATAGCATTGTTCACAGTTAATGCCTCCTCCCACCAGGGATGGATGCAGGAATTGTAGCTTCATTACAAAGTAGCAAATTTTAAGATGCCCATAGCACTTTGCAAATGAAAAATGTGATTTGGTGTTATGGAGAGCAGCATGAGCACAGACTTGCCTGTGAGATAGTGCTAGTTAGGCAATTGTCTCCCTGCAGTTAATTCCTGGGAACGTGGCTGACTGGATGGAGTGGTGAAGATTTTAAGCATTTGTTTAACAAGTGCTGCAACTAATCTCTTGCTCGCAGCGTGCACGGGTTGCAAGGGCAAGGACCCAGAGGGTGCAGCACTTCCAAACTGTTTCCTCACTATTTTTCCTTGGAGTCACTCCTTGTTCTGACGTGTAGCACCTGCCTCATGCTCAGCAGCCGGGTTCTCGCCTTCCAGTCCTAACTGAGGGCTTGAACTGTTCCAAAAAATGTGACTCTTACTGTGATATATTTGTAAGAAGAAGTTGGGAAAGAAGAGGTGTTGGTCTACCCAGCTGATGATGTACATAATCTGCAGTCACACAGAGGAGAAAGAAATAGAGGCAGTCACAAGTGTAAGGCATTTACATGAAACTCCTTGATGGATGTTTTCAGTTTTACAATCTTACTTTGAAGGACAATTGGATATGGACTGGTAAATTCCTGCAGGATAATTCCTTTGAGTCCTCCTCAAACTAGCTCTTGATCCTAGTAGTCCTATCTGAACATGAGGGCTACGGTGTCCTTGACTGCAGCTCTCGGGACAGATGATACTTCTTAGTTCTTAACACCAATCTCAAGTGGCACTAATTTCAGGTGAGTTGTTTAAGTACTTTGGTCTTGCATATAGCTAATTCTTACCCTACTAAAACGCACTGTGGTTCACAGAAACCCAGCTCGGATAGACTGAGAGTAAGTTACAGCAATATCCTACTAATGTGCCATGTGTCCTTACGCGTCTCCCAGGTAAAGGTTGGGCCAGACTTGGTCCACGTGGTTCTCCGAGGCTCCTCGGAGCCAGACGAGGCTCTGGAGGTCGGCGAGCGTGGGCGCCTCGTAGGAATCGCGGCCCCCGGCGCCGCGCGGCTCCAAGCAGGCCCTGCCGTGGGGCATCCCACTCCTCTCCCGCACGCGCTCCCTTATAGCACTGACAGCTTTCCTGAAATGAGTTAAGAGGAAACTTTCATACAGAAATCACGTTCCCTAGAAAGCAGCCCCGTTCATTACCCTCCGAACAGCGTTATGTTTCATACCGAGCGCGTGCAGCAGGGCCTGCAGGTGTTACTGAAACCATCCAGAGAGCAGGGCTCACTCTGCTATGACCCTACAGGTGGGTAATTCATCCCCCAAGAAAGCAGCAGCAGAAGGCGGAATTACTTAATTTCTTGATGAGTAACACTGTTGAAAAAGCAAGTCCATGCCACGTGAGCATGGCAGCGCTTGGCCTTCACAGATGAGGCTCTTATTTCTGTTAGGGTGCTGCTGCCAAGCGTAATGCGGGAAAGCTCCTACACTTCACAGAGTAACGGAGCGGTTTGCGCTTGATTTGCTTCCTGCTAGGTACAAGTGGAGGTTTTTGAAGTAATAAATCACTGCACTTATGTTCACAAGGCTAAAGGGCCAAGGGGAAAAAATGGTGCGAGTGTGTATAAAAATAAAAAATGCATGTAAATTTTTTCTATTACACAAATATACATGTGTGCATATATATTTATATACATATGCATACACACACGTATAATCACAGTTGTATGTACGTGTGTGTGTATATATATACACAAACCAAAACAAAGAGCAGTTGAACCGTGTTTTCCTATATCTCAGGCAAATACCACTGAACACTTGGCTGTACCTCTCTGCCTCAGCCTCTGCTCCGGGAGCTGTTCCACTTTGTATAAAGCTGTGCTGGCTGTTTGCCTCTAGGGAGAGGCAGCGCTCTCAGCTGAAGTGCAGAGTACTTAGGTACCTGGGCTATGTGGGGAAAAAAAAATAAAAAGGAGCTACGTTCTGGAAAGTTTTAGAGCTGAAAGTTGGGGCTCTGCTGCCTTGTTGAAAATCCTGTCCAGGACATTTTGCTCCCTCACAGGCTATGCAGTTCAGCGCGTGCCTCCCTTGTGCAATGCTGTTTGCTGCTACAAGTGCAAGAAGCTTGTGTGTTTGCTCCTTATCCAGGGCGTCTTTGTGACCTCAGCCCAAATTTGCTTCCACTGCCCCCCTCTCCCTCCTCCTCTCCTCAACTGTTAAGAGCAGTTATAACTTTTTGTGCATTCTAATAAAAAGGAAGTGTCCCTAGGGTAACTACTTAATAAGCAAAATATGGAAAGCACAATAAAAATGATGGGAGAGAGGGGAAAAAAAGGCTTACTTTAAATGTTCAAGAGAAAGGAGCTGCGTATGAATAACTTGGGGAAGCAGAGAAGGAATGCAGGAATACTACAATTTTTTCAAGGCCTGCCACACCAAGAGCGATGGTAAAGGAGCACATAGTGTGATCTCAGCACATGAATAGCACAGAAAAGGATATTGTGCATTGCCCGGCAAGTTTTACTGCCTTGCAGAAGTCATGCACTGTGCTCAGAAGCTGCTGCTAGCATCTTTATGATGACCTGTTGGTACTTTCACAGATACAGTACATTAAGTGCAAGCAGTAAAAGGAAATCAAGAAGATGATAATACAGGTTTACTCCAGGAGGTTCATAAGACCACAGCGGTGTGGGTGACTCTCAATTGCTGCAGATGCTGTGGAGATAAGCAGATAGGCTATCAACTTTCAGTTGCTCTAGCCCCATCGTTTCAAGTCCTGTTGCAGTCTGTGAGCTTGTTACAGCAATGATAATTCGTGCCAGAGCGGGAAAGAGGTTTCCTTGCTGGGCTTATGCTCCGAGGCCTGACTTGCTCCACGCGGCTGACGAGCCCCTCACCTGCACAGGAAGCCCAGCTCCTCCCGGCTCTGCTCGCTGCCGTGCTGGCCGCGCAATCGAATTGCTCCACAGGGCCTTCAGGGTAAGCTTGGAAATAACTATAGCAGATGATGAGACTAATGAGGAAAGTAATAAGAATTTTTTAATTGAAGGCCAGGGACTTTGCTGAAGGTTTTCCCTCCCCGTTCTTTAAGATCCTGCGAAGTTAGCAGAAGTGCTGCCACTGATTGCATCTCTCAAAGCTTGCCCTTCGGGCAGCTCACAGAAGCTGCTCTGCTTGGAAGCAGTCAGCAGCTATAGGGTGGTAGGATGCCTCCACTTCGGAAAAGAAATTCTGTTTTACAAGGTCACCACTGGTTTCTGCAGAGACCTAGCCCTTGCAAGCTGGGGAGGACTACTGTTCTTCTTCAAATGTAGTCCATGAGTACTTAAAGACCATCCTGTCTGATTCTCTCTTTGTCTTTCCTTTCTTCTCCTTCCTGTAGAAGATCTCCTACCTGGAGGAGACACTTGGGACCAGGAGTGGACTGCAAGGACCATCCCAGCGGGTGACCTGCTCACTTTGCGGGCAGGCTGCAGGATGGTGGCTGCCCGTGAGCTGCTCCGTTTCTCAGCGTTGGTTCCCAAACGTCCATGGCAGGCGCAGAGCCCCAAGGACTCCGCTCCCGGAACACCTTGTCCACAGCAACAGCCTTGCTGCGATGTCCGTGCGCCGCTGATGTTATCCTGCCACGTGAGCCTGCACACTCGGCAAGGACTTTCTTCTTTTCTGCCCTAGAAACGATTGCCATTTTCTACTGGAGGGTTTTTTTTTTTTTTTCTGGCAAAGAAAAGACAAAATCCCCACCATGCACAGTGATTTTTACAGATTTGTGGTGTATTGGCAGTCTCCAGTTAAAGAAAACTCCTCTGGAAAAAAAAGCAAACCCTCCAGTATTGTGGGCGAGTAGTAGTTCATTTTGCCATTTCCAAAAACACGACCATTTCGATTTTTCCTAGTCAAAATAACTTTTGTTTTGGAAATATACTTTAACATTGCACAAAACCTTTTAAAATAGGAAAACAAGACCATGTAGTTTTTCCTGGTCGAGAAAGGCATGTTTTGTCTAACTAAACATGAGCACAAACTAACCAAGCAGCCACTTCCTCCCGTTGCCCTCATTTCTGTTCCTCAGCATGGTGGGGGCGTCCTGCCATTTTGCCATGGGTTGTTACCCTGTCTCCTGGAGGCAGAGCTCCGCTATAGAGACATTAAACAACTGTCAGAAGTCCCCAGAGCCGGCTGTGGCTGAGCATTAGCAGAGCCCAAAGTAGTGCCATAACCACCCGATCGTCCCTCGCCAGCCCCTTTTGCTGGCCCTTTCCTAGCTGGCACGGATCCACTTGGGGTTATCAAGGTAGCCCCGACGGGGACAGGTATCTTGCAAGATCTTCAAGGAGATGGTTCACAGCATCCTTCATGGCAAGGCACTGATTTGGACTGGACCTGGGGTTACTGCAATAACACTAAATAACAATAAAGTGTTACAGAGACCTCCTGCAGCCAAATATCCTAAAGTCCCTGAAACAAAACTTGAAGAACTCAATGGTTTAGAATACAAAAGCATAAGATCAGAATACAGTTCACTTGAAAAGCAAGCAAAAGAAAAGCCTGATGATGTGTCTGAAATTACTTTCTGCCCCATTTTTCCTTCTCTTTCTCTCTCTCTCTCTATTTTTTCTGGACAGGCATCTCTGCACTCATCTTCTACACTGCTTGCTGTTTTCTCTTAGGTGGTACTTAACGCTATGGCTCTATGTCCTGCTGATGGAAAAATCCAGATGGAAAGAAGTGTGGTTCACAGGGAAACGATCGTGTAAGTGGAATTAATCTTTCAGGTATTGTAATATGAAATTCGATTTTTTTTTCTGTTAAGACTACCCAATCTGTGTTTCTACATTTTGGCCAGAATTTGATGCTCAGAGAGCCCAGAGTCTCTGGAGGTGGAGCTGAAAGTCTTGTGTGCAGAAACAGGCGCATTTAAAAGCAATAGCAAAGTTGGAACAGCCAGATGGGAACCTAGCAGGCAACTGAGAGCGAAACTCTCTGTTTTCCTTGCAAGCCTTCAGGGGCTTGTTTGCAGGAATTAGACTCTCTCACCAGCAGTTTGCTGCAGCACTAATACCAAGTGCTGGTGGAAATGAGATGCAGGTTATGGCTGATGCTTTAAATGAGGCACCAATGGGAATTTTGAAATGAGATCCTGGGCTTGTCTTGGTGTAGACCGTGCACATGGCAGAGCAATATTGCTTTCTTGGCTGACTGAATCGTATATTATGGCCCTTTATTTTGCCAACGCTCAGCAGCAGGGAACAGCAGAGGCTCCCACTGCTCCTGCTCTGAGCCCGCTGGGCCTCGTGCGGGACCTGCCACTGCCGGGTCCTGCATGGGCATTTATTCAAACAGCGATGTTGCTATATTGCTGTTAAAATAGGGCTCCAAAGCACTTGCCCTTCTGCAGGCAGGATGGATTTGACTGTGGATTAAAAGAGTTTTTTTGTTTGTTTTTGTTTTTTTCTCTCTCTCTTGATTTACTTAATTTTTGCCTGACTGCTGCTGTCAATTTAAAATTGACAATGCTGCCAAGCTTTCAGGCTTTCAGAGTGTTTGAAGAAGGCACAAGGAAAAGGGTTCTGATATTTCTCAGGCTTTGGGCAGTGATACGTTTGAGCTGCCTTTCCTTGCACTTTTTAATGCAAGCAGGAGAGTGCTTTTCTCCATCCTTTGCTTGAGAGCAGCCTATGGGAAAGGGACCTTTTGAGAAAGTTGACCCAAAAAACTCTTTTTTGCAGTGGTATCAAGACTGAAGGCTTAAAAAAAAAAAAGTTCTTCCATTGTTATAGGGGAAAATAAGATGTATTTGCAATGATCTATGAAGACTTGTGAGAAAATCTGGCAAAAGGACTTGTTTTGAAATTCTCTATGTTACACTCTATGCAGTCCTGTTATAGAATGTAGAATAAAACGCTGAAGCCTCACACATTCAGGAAACACAAGGTCTAGAAAGGCCATTTGACTCTGGGACAACCACTGAAGCACTCCTACTGGACCAGCTGGTAGAGCTGGAAGAATTAAACAAGCTATCAAACCTGCAAGAAGGGCTATTTTTTTTTATGCCAGACGACCTAATTACATACTGCCTTTAATGACAACCCTTGTCTTAGCAAGCCCAGCAACAGAGCTGCTCCTGAAACGCTGTGATTTTTCGTTTTGCCAGAAGATGGCAGAAGAAAGCAATCCTGAAAGATTTTTTTAAAAAGACACTGGCAATGTAACCATGATTTTAAACAGAAGAATTACTGAGTTACAAGAAACTGCTTTGGCTGGATGATAGAAAAACGCAATGTGCACTGGATTAATGAAATGGGTGTTGACCTGGGGAGAACACATCAAATCAGCTGGGCTGTATGTGCTCCTGTGCAGGTGCCCGTGGAAGGGAAAGCTGTAACGGTGCTGGGCTCCTTGGAGAAGGGTTTCGAGGGCCTCTGCCATGGACCCCCAGGAGCAGGTGAAGGCACAGGAAGGAACCTCCTCGTGAGAGTTTCCTGGGGGATTCTGAAGAATCCTGCCTGGCCAAGGCACCAGCGTGAGCTGCTGAGATCATTAGGAACCAGTGGGAATTAAGAGGCGCCCGTGCAGGGCCGAGCGCTGTTACCAGGCCGTGGCCGCGCGCCCGGCCGCCCCGCAGCAGCAGGAAACCTCACGGGAGGCTGCAGCCGCCTTGGGCTCTTGGCTTGCCTTGGAAACAGGCTTAAAGGAGACTTATTAGCAGCATGCACAGCTTGTGTGTCTTGGGGGAAACAAATAAAGCTGTAAAAAACACACTTAAAACCTGGTAGCAATGGGCCTACCCCAAAGCCTCGCCACTCAGGGCCTCACGTAGTGGAAGACCTTGTTGCCATATCTCAAGTTTTTGCAGCTTTCTGCTCGTTTCTTCTGCTCTTATTTTTTTCAAAGGAACTCCCTGGAGCTGATAGAGGTAAGGTGCTCCTAGGCAGGAGCGATTAAGGAATTTTGCACAAGGATCAGACCACCTGTCCTGTCTCCAGTAATTAAAATATCACAAGGTTTAGGAAGCAGCTAATTTGCTGACAGGCCAAGCTGGAGGATATGCAGGGGATGCATCACTCCAAACCTGCCCTGCCTAGAGTACCCTATGGCCTGGGTCCACCAGCAGTGATCACCCAGATCAAAGCTCCTACAAGGTTGCTCGAGCCTGCTCTGGACATGATCTCTTTTAGTGAAGATGGCCCCAAGAAGCAGTTCAACAGGAATTGGTCATTGCAAAACAAAGGCAGATTCAGGGCTTTGAAACTTCCATGTGCAGAGGAAGTGCCTGCAAAAACAAGCATGTTTGCCACCCCTAGGCACAGGAACACTGCCTGCTCCCCCAGAGGGAATAAAGAAGAAACCCTTCCAAAGGGGAAGTCACGAGAACAGTTAGAGCTATAACTTTCTAAATGTTTGTCTTCAGTCTGTATTTCATGTCCGGATAATACGGTGACAGGTCTCCTACAGAAATGAAAGACAAGCTAAATGAGCACAACATGAGGAAACAGTGATTTTCCTAAACTGCAGGATGGTATGTGCAAGGCTGCACCAATGATGATATTGACAATTGCAACTTTCACACAAGATGTCTTCTTAAACCCTTCAAATCTGAGTGTCCTAATGGAGCTCTCAGTATTGTGGATTTGGCCGCATGTTTTTGTCGCTGAGTAGAACAGAATGCCTTTCACTGAATTTCCTCATGCTTCTTTGGTGTTAATATATGTGGGAATTAGAGAGAATTACTCATGACTGTTGACCCACTGATGTTTACTAAAGAAGCTATCCATGAAAACAACACAGGAAAAAAGGAAAATTACCCCGAACCTCTTTTAAATATATGAATGAAAGATTTTCAAAGGCACAAAGGAGAAACTATCAGGTTATGCACCTTAGTCCTATTTATGCCCTTGAAACATCTTTTGCTTACGGTGCTTAATTGGTCTGTGAAACTCCATTGCCATAAGAGGTAATTGACCATTTTTATAGAAGGAGGAATAACAAAAATACTCAGAGCTATTGTTCTAGAAATTAAAAAAAAAAAAGAATTATGGAAAGAATATGTTTCAGGGCATAAGCCAGCCTCTCCTGAAACTATGCAAATTGAGCTGGTGAAGACAACAGCAGACAAAATGAAATGAGTTGTATATGAAGAACCGAGATCTCAAATGTGATATTATGCAGAAGGTAAAGAGACTATACTAGATAAGAAACAGCTCAATGTGTTATCAAGGGTGCACTTGGATTTTGATGAATGTTAAAAGAACCTTTAGCCTTGAAAATAAAGAGGATAATTTCTCTCTAGGCAATGGCTGCTCATGAAAGCCATAAAATAAGAGCACTGGAGCCCTAATTTTATAGTGCTTCTTAAATGATTTTCAAATGGTCCAGCTGCTTTGTGCCACAATAACACAAGGCAGGGATATTTACGCCGGCGATAACAAGCATGCATTAGCCTGCCCAAGCTGCTCTCCGCGGGCAGCCAGCGTCAGGTGCAACGAACGTGGAAAACTGAGAGCTGCCCATGCGGATTGATCACACTTACACTTCGGCTAGAGGGATCCTGGAAGGTGCTTTTTCCACCAGACAGCTCGATTGTTTTCCTCGCCTGCGTCTCGCCCGTGAAGCACAGGATGTACGCGCCGGGTGACTCCTGTGCTATTTTGGTACTTGAGCACCTGCCAATTACGTCCGCTTAAGCCA